ATCGATGCTTTTATTTACACGGTGTGAATAATTATATGGCACATCCCCTGTGTTTCTTTTATTTCCCTCTGTTCTCCCCTTTTAACGCAGGGGGCGATAGTTCCCGTACGAAATCACCGCGTGTGCGTGGTCGCCGCTTGAGAAAAGGACGAAAACGATCGGGCCGCACCGGATAAACTTTGCGAAATAGTAGTAATAGGCCATAATTCCTAATCGTAAAGTATGAAATGTATCAACAAATTTGAAAAACTTCCCTCGCTCACCTGATTAGGCAAATATCTTTCTTCTTTCCTTCTCTCTCTCTCTCTCTCTCTCTTTCTCTCTCTCTCACACACTCTCTCTCTCTCCTTTACATTCTCGTTATTCGCGCTTAGTTAAAGAACGAACAAGATCGTTCCAGTGAGAGGACTCCGTCCCCCTTAGATCGCCTAAGAATTTTCGCGCATTTACAATACACACAGCTTGAACCGAGCGCTACAAGGCGCGAAGTTTTCTCGTCTCGAAGCCGATCGCGAAACTCTCGAGATTCGCGAGTCTCTCGCGTCACGCGGATAAACTTTTGAATGAAAACAACGACGACGTCGGGAATTGCACGAAACGAAATGATTGCACTATAGAAAAATAAACTATTCGAAGAGATCGGTCGTGTGTGTTGCTCTTCTCCAAACGGCGAACATCCTTCGGCCCGGAAATAGGTCGAATTGAAGTTTTTCGCGGGGAGAAGAGAGATATCACCAGTTTATATGTATTACGCGTTGCTCTCTCTCCTTCTTTTTCTCGCGGCAAAATCTCGAAGGATCACGGACGAGGAGGAAACTTCGCGACGGCGGCTCTCATCGTTCACCTTTCCCTTGACTAAAGGCGAAGAAATCGATATAATTTAATTAATAATTGACAGATAACCAATTAATACGTATAGGATGGCCCTGCGGCAAGAAGGCGTAAATTCCTAAGGTTTCAAACGACATAAACTTTTCTAATTTTAACATCGCCCCGGACCATCCAGTACATTGATTGTAATTACTTCCCGCAGTATACTTCGTTAACCTACATTTTTATTTTTATTTGTTTTTTTTTGCTATAATAGAAATCATGTGTCTGTATGTATAGATCTTCATTTCTTTTCTCTCTCTCTCTCTCTCTCTCTATGCGTTTTTTTCCTTTTTTTTTTTAAAATTCTTTTCGGCATGGCCTCGGTGCCGGTCTGTAAATGTCGCGTGTACGCGTTTTTTCGTTTGTCACGGATCCGCTCGCGTTGAACAAGAGAGCAGCTTCACCGTGCCGTGTACTCTACGTGTACGTTTCTCCCTTTTTTTTTTCCTCTCTTTCTCTCTGTGTCTTTGTTTCTGCTTTTTCTCCCCCGTTAAACCTGTACAGTTCGGAATTCCACCAAGCATTTATACATTTACACGTGACGTGTGTGTGTTAATGTGTGTGTTTGTGTGTGCGATCGTGTGCGCAAACGCGCGTGCCGGCGGAAGTCACGATCGAGCCTCCGTCTGGCACACGCGCACGCGCACAAGATTCCCTTTTTGCGCGTTTCGAATGAAAATTTCAAAGTTCTCTCCCGCTCTCTCTCTCTCTCTCTCTCTCTTGCACACTTTCATTCGTGTTCACACCAGCACTCTCACACGCGTTCACTCGTTTTCATTTTCTTTTTTTTTAAATAGTTAACAGTAACATCAGGATGAACATTGTACAGAGTGATTGATGTACAATAAGCCGAGCTTCCGGTGGACAGTTTCACGAAACTCCGGGCGACTCTGTCGGTCGTGGTTGGTCGATTAGTCCCGCGAACGAGGAAAGAACAGAGTGGAAGAGAACGCGAGAGAATCGAAGATGCTTACGAGTACGATAATACTACACTGTATAGTCTCGTTCAATTCGACAACGTTCTTCCTCGTGGATCGAGACGATTCGAACGCGAAACAGAGGAACTGATCGATTGTTTCATTGACGACGGATCGCGCAATGTGAGAACAAGTGCTCGATAGGAAGGATTTTTTTTCTTTACATTACGAATACTGATTTCTTTGTGTGTGTGTGTGTGTTTTCTTTTTTCTCTTTTTCGTCATTTTCGATCTACGACGACAGAGGCGAGAATTTTCAACCGGTCAGGCGAAAACTGTCCATCGAAGAAGCTTCACGCGCAAGAATCAGATATGCACATAGTGTTTTCCCTTTTTTTCACCATTTCTTTTTTTTCACAGTTACAAAACTAACTAAATCTTACGAGATACGGTGAGCAATAATTCCAGTTATGTACAGAAATTATGTTACAGACGTCTCAATATAAAGATATCTCCTTCGACAATACAAATGTATATTCGTTCGCCTAGCTCTGAACGCGCGAACACGATCATCGTCATCGTTCGTTCGAGATCCCTTCTCCTCTTCACCGATACTCGCTCGCTCGAGCTCTGTTTTTTTCCCCCTTCCTGTATTCTGTATTGTTTTTTTCATTTTGAAATTCCGCTGATCACCGACGCGCCACGCGAGTAAATGGGGCCAGTCCGTAGTGTGCAGCCTTCTCTTTCGAAATCGTTTTAATAATTGATAGGCTACCCTGTTTCGTTATCGTAATCAATGGTACTATCCTCGCTGTACATTATCGCGACGTGAGGATCCTGTTTTAACTCGAGGCCGTTCCGTAGATCATCGCCGAGGAAACGCAGCGTCTCATAGATCTCTCTCTTTCTCTCTTTCTTCCACGTCCTCGTTCAATGAGCTACAGACATTCGCAAACGAACGGATAAAACGAACCAGATACATTTTCGAGGAAAACGAGAATAACTGAATAACGAGCGTAATTAAGCGAAGAACGTCTCGACGTCGTTTCGTATTTTTTCATTTTTCTTCTCTTTTGCATCTTCTTCTTTTAAGTCGCGCGCGCTACATCCATTTTTCATCCCTCGAAAATTGAGACGCGCGACCGAATTACAATCTAACACGTTGCCCCTCCCTCTGCTCTCGATCGTCTATTTCTTTAATATCGTAATACGTTATTTACACGAAGCTGTTCCATCGCACGAACGAGCTTATTTCGATAGAGTTTCTCTTCTTCTTTATTTCTTTTCTTTTCCCCCGTTTCATTTTGCAATCTGGTAGCGCCACCAAACTATAGGCCCTATGTTCGTATTGACAACAGGTGTATAATATATTTATATATTTAGCTATCTATTTTACAAAGGTCGGCCCGTGGAACGCGGTTCATTCGCATTTTTCGATTGGCGAAGTGAAAAATCCTCAGGCCGGAAGGAGACACGTGATACGCGCGCGCGTTTACTTGCCAGCCAAGCAAGCGCGGCGTGATCTTACACGAGTTGTGTCGATTTGCTCTCGTTTAGTGCGCTTCAATTTAGCGAATACTGCGCGAGACTTAACCGTTTTACTCTCTTCTCTTTTCTTTTTTTCTCTACAAATAAAAAAAGGCAGCGCGACACAGTAACGTCGAAGTAGCAGCCGAGACGTTGGCCTGGTCCTTTATCGATGACGTGTGTGTAAAATCGAGGATTTTTCTCGCGGTTCGACGTCACTCTGACTAGGACAGTACGTCTACGTATCACAAAAAGCGAAATATTCTCTCGAAGCTAGCTTTCACAGTTTTCCTCCTCCCTACTTTTATATCGTTTCATCCAGAACCATGACGCTTTCTCCCCGTTTTGAAGAGACTGCTACTACGACCCGCGATGAGATTCGATTCCCATATTTTTCGTTACGTTTCGAATGAACATTAAATGCTTATCGAGATCTATAAGTATGCGAATAAAAGATTGTCGATACCGAGTGGTCTGTTCTCGTTCCGAAGAGCTCCTTCGATTTACGAACCTAACCACCGTCCTTCGTCCCTCGTGAACCCTCGAACCATCACCATATAACCGATGAATCCTATCTTCTCTCTCTCCTTCCTCTTCTTATTTCACCCCACGTTGCCTTCTGATTTTCTCTATCCGAGCCCACGGCCAGCGTATTGCTTCGACTTTCACGATGACACCGTTCGCCACCGTACGCTCGCTCTTCTCTCCAAGCAGAACTTGAAACGACGCGAGAGAAAAATACACTGTACGCTTCCAAGTCGATGAAGGAACCTTCTTTACTCCTGTTCTCAGTCTTCTTTAAATGGAATACCCCAAGCGCAGTCACACCGATCTTCTTCTTTTCAACCAGCTAGACCTGTTTCTCCGCTCCCGTCGTTCTTCGAAGCCGCCGTCAGACTTACAACTCTACTCTCTCCTTTTACATTCACCCGGTTGATCCTTCCCATATCGGTCAGAATAGCATACAGGTGCGACGAGTATTCCCTTTCCTTACCAATCTCGGTCTGCCTTCCAGGAGTCTCTCGCGTTTACGGTGAAAACTTATCCGTTGGCTTCACAGTTCCCTCATTGAATAATCGTGGTGTCAATTCCTTCGTAAGCAGGAACGTATCGTAGACCCTGTTGGCTGGCTACGCTCATCCTCTCGTGGATCCTCTTAGGCATCGTCTCCAGCATGTGAACGCCTCTCGCGTACGTTTTCCTCTTCGCCAGCAGTTTCGTCGCGACGATCACGCTAGGATACTCCGCGAGTTCCCGTGGTCCTTCTTGAGTAGTTCCTCCTCCCTCCAGAGTGTCGCGAACGATCCGTTGCTCGTTCTCGAAGATACATTGCCCGCGTGAGAAAGTTCGTAGGTCCGACTTGTTCGGAGGATACTCGCGAAAATGTTGGGCGACACGATGACGCTGCTCTACGAGGTGCCGATGATCGCGACTTGCTCTTCGTAATTGACGCAGCACCATCTCGATGTACTTGAGCGCCTCGCCGTTCTCGGCCATTCGTTGCGCTCGCCCCTTCACGCGAAACTTCTTCGTCTCGTCCCTGGACTTCGATTTGCCCAGCAATCGTTCGACGTCTGCTCCGTGTACCATCGTGGACGCCTGTCGCGACGTGCCGCTACGCTGCTGATAGAGACAGCTTCTCGGCAGAGAGTGTTCGAGGAACGTTTCTTCGTCTGGCCTGAGTGTTGTGCTCGAGTGGTGTGCACCTTCGACGGCTCGACGGTGTTCGAAGGCGGTGCTAGTTAGGCCCGAACGTCGACGGTTCTAGTTCGGATAGACCCCCTGGCCTCATACGTGCGTCGCTAACGTCCCCACCGCCGAGGTGCGTTTTACCGTCGCTACACCGCCGTTTGGCCCGCCTGTGATGTAGTGCGCTGACAATGGAGCCTGGAAGAGTATGAAAAAAAGAAAAAGAAATGAAAGGGTGCTAAAGTTTCGTTGATAGTTACAAGTGAAACTTGCGTGGATTTTTAACCCTTTGAGCATGTCGCGTCTGAAAATTCCGGTGCAGACGAAGTTTTTAAACTCTTAATAGGTTCACTGCCACGTTGGTCACTTGTGAATAGAGATTGTTTCCTCGATGGGGCCACGGTGATTATGAAATGTTTAAAATAATTCAAATAAAACGAGTATCGTCGACTAAGAATTTTGAACGTTTTAGCTAACTAGACATTATTTTGAATTAAAAAAAAAATATAACGTAGGCATTTGGGCCGGTTTATGGCATGGCCCGCGTCTTTTGGCGAGTGACAGAGACCAGACCTCAGTGCCCGTCAGTTCGGCCCATAAGAAGCGTTTGCCTTTGAAAAAAAGATCTACGTGTAAAATAGTTTTGGAATAAACCGCTTAGTAACATCCTGAGTAAAGTTAATCACGTTAGACCACCTCCTACAATAATAATAATAATAAAGCATGATAAGCATAATATATTATGCATAGAATAATTTTCTGGTGATCCCCTGAGCAAAACATGTAAATCTGGCGTGGCAGTCAACGTGTTAACACATTCGCTGCGGCTCTAAAAACAAATACCTTATACTTTTTTCATTCATGTGGTATAGAATTGACAATCGTCACCCACACAGTAGCAATGTGAAAAATTATGCGATAAAATGATGCCTGTGTTGAACGTGAAATACGTCATATTCAAAGAAAGTAACTGGTTATAATTCTTCCTCATTTTTAACTGTAAACTGGAGAGATTCAATTTCTGTTTCAAAGAGGAACACCGTTAGGAGGTTAAATATGCTCTAAGGGAGTTATTATTTGCTCGAGACTGCTGTTTTCGCGCTGGGATTACGCGTACCTCGATGTCTGACCAATTTTAGGGTCTCACTACTGTGCAGAGATGAGAAGACGCTAAGAAGTGTATTTTTTTGTAAAGTCTGACTCTCTTGTCGCGCAATTTGTGCCTCATTTCTACGATTGAGTTGGAGAAGTTGGGTCTATGGATTAACAAACTTCTCATCTTTGCGTAGTATCAGGTTGTTGCATGTGAAACGACAAATTGTTTCCAGAATTACGTTCTCAAACTTGCTACCATTAATACGTGTACATCAATTTAAATCCGAAAGTTAACCAAAACCATCTGGCATTCGATAGTGAAATAACTGTCGAACCATCACGGTCAGCGGTTCGTCAATTATTTCACTATTAAATGGCAGTTTGAAGCACCACGATTAGTGGTTCGTTAATTATTTCACTATTAAATAAACCACGAATCGAGATCAAATTTCACTGACCACTTTTCATAGTCGAAATTTAATAAACCGGAGTAAAAAACGTTTTCAAAGACCTCTTTGTACCTAGAAAATAGAGTTATCTTTTAACGAAGTTACGAATAGCCTCGTTTTTACTAAACCTACAAACGTGAAAAGTTTCATCGATACCTCGGTCATTTCATCGGCAACAATCTAACACACACATCGCTTCCATCGACTATACCTCCGTACCTACACTTCTTTAACCCTTTCGCTACGGCAGATTTTAACGCGTAACGTGAGTGACTGAGGGTAAATTTTTAACCACGGCTGTAAAATTTCTTATCTTGGTCGTATCGTTTTAAAATTCGGTTTATCGAGTTACGGTTTTGGAAGTGACGTGGTGCAAATGATTACTCGCCAAGTGGGTAACAAAAATATATTTATTTAAACGTAATGCTTAAACTAATTTCAAATGTGAACTGTGTGATGCGCGTGCAGAGAATGTCTACGACAGAAGGCCCCGTGCCTTTTTCGGGGCTCCCTTAAGTAGCCCCTTTTCCCTAGGAAAGTCCCAGGAAGTGGGGGCGCAATACTCTTGTCCTCGAGGACGAAGAGAAACATCTCTCGATTCTTCGCCTCGAGGACCAAGAGTTGCCAGGCCTAAGTGCGTGGCCTCCCCGTCGCCACACGGTGGAAAATTAAGTATTAAATTAAAGTAGAAGTGTACCAAAAGGCTTTAACAGTATAATTCGAGCAAATTTTCAAAACGCCTCTAGGCGCTAATAGTAATGAAAGGGTTAAAACATTTGTAGAACGACTGTTCCTACGTTTTAACAGAGATCATTTCTCCAATTTCACATATTACGTTAACCCTTTGCACTCCAAGCATTTTTTAATACACTCAACCAGCAATTTTACCACACTTTCTCAGTAAAATTTTAAAAACCGAACAATTTTCTTTAAAAAACAAGATTTATCTACTTTTACTTCTTCTGTTAATTCACTTTGATACAAAGATAAAAGGAACGGAGTTACGGTGCGTGTCACGAACACCACCAACACAGCGCAAAGGGTTAAAATTACACAATACATAATTCCCAACGAAACAAACTGCTCCACGTTCAAAGGGTTACAAACATCGAGTAAACATTCTCGGGAACAGCTGGCGATCGATGTAACAGCAGTAGGCGATATAGCCGCGTGAAAAAATCAGAGCGATTGAATAGATCTCGATTCGAACGAACCGATTGCGCAAACAATCTCAAGCTGGATCTTTGGCCAGTCCTCGAGCCAGTTCAGGTGAGCGCAGGAATGTACCTGAGATGTGGTAACTGCGTCTTGGAATTTGACACACATTCACCGTCATTGTACTAACCTGTGGTCCAGCGCCGTTCAAGGTATTCAAGCTATTCATTCTCATTGCTTGCGTGTAGGGCGGTGGTGCTGGCGTTACTCCTGGCACAGCCGTGTGCGGCGCGTGTCTCAGTTGCTCCGCCGCTGACATTCTATTGTTCGAGATGGAAGAGAAAAAGGAAACGAACTGATCAGAAATGGGAGAGAAAAAATTCCTCGACTGGGACCGATAGTTTCTTATTTACGACAAATAGATCGTTTCGCGAGGAGAAACGAGCGACGAATACGAGCAGTCGTGGATTTGCCCGATTAATATTAATCGCGCTCAGGGGTCCGCCGCTCTGGACACCGACGTTATAAATATTCAAGACGGACGATTCATAATTTAACGCGGAGTATAATTAATCCGTAGAAACGATTGCACGCGCGGTGTTCGCAAATCCGTTGATCAATACGTCATAAATATTATAAACGTCAACGAAACGCGTGGAACGTCGTTTCGTCGCGTTGTCGAGGGTGAAGCTTGAAAATTGGTAGTGTTAAGATGCGTATTCATTGGTAAATTTGTCTCGGGAATATTGTGCAGGAAGAACGCTCGCGAAAAGTTCGCTAACGTTTTGTATATGTTCGGCGATCTTTTCGCGAGGGTTGCTCGTAGAGAAATTCAGGAACTGTTCGCGAACAGTGAGCTCAACATGTAAGTAAATATTTTAGTACACAAGTTTAGACCAGTTTGGTGAGAATTTGGTAATTTCGTTAACTTATTCAAAATCGAAAGTTTAATCAAATATGGGTAAGATTGATTTAAATTTGTAGAAAATTATGCACATCTTGTTCGTGAAATAAACTTAAGTACTGGGTCCAAATACTCTTCTTTCACACCTCTATCTCGTTTTGGGCTAAACACTCTTGACTTGTTCGACAAAATTTTTTCTTTCACTATTTCTCGCTTCATTTTCTTTTTCATTTCGTTAAAACTTTTTGTTTGCGGCTATCGAACAGTAACTCATTTCCGCCTAATATCTTTCTTCTTTCGTTTATGCACGAAAATCCAAGAGGACCAATTGGGGGTTGAAAAAAAGAAACGATTCCTACCCTGTTCGCGAATTGTTCGCGAACACCAGTGTAGACGCATCTTCACATCCACCAGGATGCACACCTTTCACACATGAAATCTTCGATCGTTTCTCCATCGTGTTCGCGTTCTTCGCGACTGTTCCACTGAAAATCGAATCCGTACTACCACCACGATTCACGGAATCTCTCTCACTCTCTCGCGACTATAATTCAATCGTCTTTGCTGCTGCAATCCGCGCGTGCCTCTGTAGAATTACCACGGGGGTAAAACAGAATTACAGTTGGTCAAAGGTTTCTCTATTATCCGGCGTGTCGAACTAGATTGCGGTCTCGATGACACAGGCGACGCGAGTTCCATTGATACGGCCTAACCTTAGCTCTCTCTCTCTTTCTCAGCCAAGTCTCTCCACTTGGCTATGCCCAGAACTTTACCTGAGGTAGGGATTTCCATACGTTGCGGAGAAACGTGGGTCGATCGCAGGGGTGGTTTGTGGGGTGGCGGTGCCCAAATTCGCGGAACTCAGACCGATCTTCTTTGAGGCTAGTATGCCGCCCGATGGTATCCTGCTTAGGGATTCCCGCGACGCTCCCACCCCTTGCGTCGTAGGCGGCATATAGTCGCGGGTGTAGTCCACGTATGGCACATAACCATTATTGTTACTGCCGTCCTATAACAGGAAAAGCGGAAGGGAGAATGTTAGCGATAAATAGAGGGTGATTCCGTGTTCGCGGTTACAGTTTTTACAACTAGTTGTAATAGATACCACTCCCTCGTGCTCTTCTTTCTGCAAAAGGTGCTTCTCCGTTATGGCGTATAGAACTAGAGGAGGGAAAATTAGTTTGCCTTAACACGTTCTGGACGATGTGACACAACGGTGGGTCGTCGAGTGTATGTTCTCTTATACAGTAGGACAATGTTAGAGATTGGGTTTATGACATGGACGCCTGTTTACGCTATTTTTCAATGCGCCCCTTTTCTTCTTCGCGTTAATTAATTTTTCTTTCAAATTGGCCACGAAGCCCGGGAAGCGTTTTATGGCTGCAGAAAAATAACTTTTCTGCGGGCCATATACCTTCCCGGTGCCCACTCGTGAACATTCAATAGACACAGCATGTCATAAAACCTCTCGCGTCTCCCTGACCGCCCAAAGTCCCGCTACGCGCGGGCTACCCCTTGGGCCTCACTCCTTCGCCATCGCGACATACCACCACCCTGCCGACTTGGAAATTCGAGGGTGGGCGGCATGCTCGCGGGCCACGGAGGACCGTCCAAGGGGGTAGACCCGTTCCCATTGGCGGAGATCACCACCTTATACCCCTAAACCTTTTTATAAATAAGCGCACCAACGCGGCGCACATGAGATCAAAAAGGGAAAATAGACAAACACTCTTCAAAATAAAGTCTTTTTCTTTTAACATAATAAAATACGTGCAACCTCATCACACCACGACTTCATACCAGCAAACAACTCGAACCAGTGACAATACTGCGCCACCACTCTCGAACATACTGCTTGTTCGAAGCGCACGACGCAGCAGACAATATTCGTAGAATTCATTGGAAAAATTTCGTTCAAGTGTTGACCACTTTGACAGTCTAATGAAACTGTGAATTACGGTAAAAAGAATTTATATTTCACGTGTATTTTTTTAATAATTACGTCGGTCGTGATCATTTTTAATACGAGGGACAAGAGTATCTCTTGAGGTAAACAGTTAACCCTCTATGCGCCGAATATGTTTCTTGACTGTAAAAGAATTTACGTAACGTAAAATTAGCAAATATCGACCTATAAATACAGAATAACAGTGAATTCAGCAGTTTCGACAATTTTATCATAACGAATACATATTGTAACTTTGAAGTAACAACGGTTATCAAGAAAGTTACTGGTTAATAAGGAGACATTGTACAACAAGACGTTTATGCCATTTTGTGGAAGAAAGTTCAATTATTTAATAAAATATCGATATATTAGTATGTGACTTGAAAGTTAGACGGGCCCATAGAGGGTTAAGTGTTTGACGCTCTCCTCGAATTTTACACTGGATAAACTGTCGAAGGGTTGACCTATGATTTTTTTTATAATTAAGCATCTAAGCGTCGGCTATTTACTGTTTTAATACTGTATCTGGTGACAAAAGATAATTTGTTACAGATAAACTGCGTGTAGTAATCCACAGTCTTACGAATTCAAACGAAAGTTAGGATTATAATTAATTTCTTTACTGATATAATTATATTTGTCTAGAATCCACGGATTTCAGTATCCGCGGAAAGCCTTGGAACCAATTTCCCGCGGATGTATATTTTTCGATGTGACCCACCGGTGACCACGTTATTTTATAATATTCTATGAAAAAACGTATATTTAACCCTTTGCACTCTACTGGCGCCGTTACAATCCAAAATTGGGAGACTGTTTCTAGTGACAAAATGTGAAATTATCTCTTTATTAAAACAAAACTTTTAGTTTTCAGAAATTTTACTGCAAAAGTGTGCTGAAGTTGGCCGATCAAAAAATCCTTCGAGTTCAAAGGGTTAAAAAGATTAGAAACTGAACAAAATGAAGTATTAATGATATAAGCGAGTGTTTCGTGAATTTTTCTGCCATTCTGAACGTGTTAAGGGAGTGCACCATCATGAGGCTTTTAAAAATAGGTAAAATTTCGCATTTCCGGGTGTTCGAGGAGTTACGGGACACCCTGTATATATCTTTCCGTAGCTGTTAGTGCCCGTGATAGTTTCAAAATCAACTTTCGGACTTGGGTTGTACTTGCACGTGGTGTGCCAACTTTCTTTCAAAACCTTCTCGAAGGACCACCCAGTTATACTGGGACTAGTGAGATCGATACAATTTTAGCTGGTTGCTACTTGGTGTTTGTTGGACGACTGACTCTCGACGTCGTTCCTCGGACGTCCGTTGGAGAGTTTTTAGTTAGAGCACGCTGATTGGTTAAATAGTTAACCATTACATTTACCAATCAGAGTGTCTAATAGCGTCTTCACCGCCCTTCCAGTGCGCCCTTAGCGCGCTGTCACCTTGGCAGGGTGAGAGACGGCCGCGTAGGGTGGGCGGAAAGTCCCCAAAAACTGGAATTTCCTCCGGGTGACTCATCGGCAAGCGTACCGTTACAGGTAGATGTGCCGTTCGGAAATTCGTGGTTTATGGCATGTTCTTAGGCTATTGAGCGCGAGGGACAGAAATGACTAAAAATCCAACAAGCAATTCTAGTGACCCTCGCCAGGTTGTAATTAGACACGTACAAGCAGTAAACGAAATCCTGAACTCAAAAATAACCGTTGCCGTTCGATCGTGCCATAAACCGTGCCTGTGAAGGCCTGAACAATTTCAGAGGATATAAATTTCAGCTTTTTTCTGCAATTTTTAAAATGTATACATGTTACAATACAGAGGAGTCATTGTGAAACCTTCTCTGCTGGAACATCGATTGTTGCTCGTTATCGCCAACAAGAACCGTAATGTCTGAAATAAAAAATTCTTTTTGATTCGCAAATAAAAGTGTATTACCTGCAATGTAACCGACGATTTTTTTCGATATGTCAGTTGTTTAATTTCGTTTTTTGGTAAAAAGAGGGATTTCCTCTTCAAACATTTCTACAATTACAGTTTTTAAAAAATCGTAAGCTACGTTCTAGATAATACGTTTTCATTTACAAATCAAAAGGAATCTTTTATTTCACGCGTTCCAATCCGAAATCGATGTTCTAGCGGAAGATCTTCTGCAATAACTCCTCCATTCTGTAACATTTTTACTTTCTAAAAATTAGAGAAAAAACATGAAAGTTACATTTATACCCTAAAAAAAAATTTAGTAGTCACCTATAAAAAAAATTCACAAACTTTACCTATTTTTAGACGCCTCAGGGTGGTGTGCCTCTTTAAGGGCGTCGGATGACCAACCTATTGATTCGTTCACTTATAAACGCGATCGAGTTGCTGTACCCAAAATAAATTACTCATACTTCGTTTCACTCTAAGTTCAAATTCGTACAGGAGGTTTACCTACGAATTACTCACTCTGTAACTAAAGGCTACAGCAACCCTTTCTTCACCAAACAACAACAGTATAAAATACTCCCTAAAACAGCTGATCGGAGCTCTTTCTATCTTATCAATAGTTGTATCCAGAGCTATAATTTCGACAGGTCCAAAATTTGAGCCACTCGGAAGCCAAAGTGACAAACTCCATAAAATGAAATTCGTTTCATTGGTGAAAAATTAAGCACTAAAATGGTAAGAGTATCGCAACCTGGAGTTAATCGTTTCAACTTCAGAATAGCTCACCTGTTACCATCTAATAAGTACAAATCGGTGTTAACGTTTCCAAGCCAGATTCCACCGAAGTTCTCGCACGATCAACTTGCTGGTTCAGCGATCTCGGGAATTTTCCTTCCGTCTGAACATTATGATTCGTTGAACGTGTACAGAAATTAGGATCGCTACGGATTATCATGGTAAAGGTGGAGAGAGGGTCTAAGAACGTGGTCGAATTCGAAATGTTCCACGCAGCAAACCCAGGGCACAAGGCTGTATATGTGTGTGTGTGTGGGGGGTGGGATATCAGGAGGATTCGTGCGAGAATTGGCGAGGGTGAAAATTCTTAAAAACTGCAAATTAAATCTGCACAGTCCTCGAGATGTAGCGAGAGTGTGTATGCGCCCTGGAGAGATATTCTACGCTTTAATATGCACTCTTGGAGCTCGGCCGCTTCCTCTTGCAATAAACTAGATTAAGCTCTCTGGGCCTGCCGGGCTCATCGCGTCCCTTCCTCGTCGTAGCGAGTACGCGAAATTGCGAACAGAGAAATTTCGGTACGCGGCACAAAGAGGTAACGACGTTCGATGGTTGGAAAATGGTTCTTCCTACTTTCTGCTTTCTGATATACGTATATATACTCACGTTATTCTTCGGCGGGAACGATGGTTCCGTGTAATCGGCGCTGTAACGATAACCCAGGGGATTCGGTACCGGACCGGCAAGCGCCAAAGCGTTCACACCTCTCGTGCTTCCTTCGCCCTCGCTGTCAAGTGCTGTCACGCTTTCCGCGTTGCTGACACTCGATCCAGCTCGTATATCCGCTTTGACATCGGAGAGGTTGCTGCTTCTGTCACTCTCTCGATATCGATCCGCGTTCGAATCTGTTTCTTCTGTATCGGCCGTGTTCCCACCACGACGACAACACGCGAGAAACACAGCACAGGAACCGACACGCAGATAAGAGAGGGTAGAGTCGAGAGGAAAGAAACAAAAAAAAGAGAGAGTCAAGCACCATCCTGCTGTTTTAAAGACGAGAGATTTCAATGTAAAGCTGTGAACCTCTCTGCGTGCATTTCAAACCCCGCCGCAGTTTCCCATTGTTGCGAATTTTTATCACGAATTAGAATGCCAAACACTCCGCGAGCTACAAAATAAACGAGTGAGCCGTGGGTGGAGTGGAGAAACGGGATCGGTGGAAATATATGTATAGTCGAATGGAACGTGGATAATTTCTGTTATGAAACTATAAAAGCGTGTAACGGTATCCGCGCAAACAGCTATAAACAAACAGTTTAGAAAGGCGTTGAGGGAGCCTATAATACAGGACCGAATGTCGCCATCTCGTATATAACCCACGACTGTTCGAAGATCAACGAAACACGGTATTACAATCGCGTGTGGCTCGTTTGCATTCAATGAGTCTATCACTCATTCTTGGTTTTCCGCGTCGTTAACGATAGATCGTCCGAACGATAACGGTGTCGTGTCTCCTCTCCGCGGCTGACTAGCAGAGGGAAGAATGTCTCTCTCGGTTGGCGGAGAAATGACGAAATTGCGAGTCACGAAGAACCGGAGAACTCCGTTCCGTAGAGAAAAACAATGGGAAACGCGGCGTGACTAATGGCGTTATAATTCATTCGAACATGATATTCCACTCACGCATATCAGTCTCCTGGGTCTGGGCTGTCCTCGGCCGCGGTTGTTTGATGCGGTCGCGGCACTGCAGAATGAGTATAATGATCACGCCAATCAGGATAGCGCAGACGACCAATCCACCGATGATCAGAATCAGTTGCCAATCGACTGGAATCAACGCTAAGCGTCACGGTTGGTTAAAATCTCGGCTGTTTAGCTCAACGGGTGAAACGACTCTTCGTTTCCTTCCAATTCTTTTTTCTTCCTCCCTTCCTTTTTTACTATTTTTTGTTTTCGTTCGTTCTCTCCAAAAAAAAAAAAAAAAATCGCGCGCGGAGATGAAATTTGCAGATAACGCGAGAGCGCGCGACTGTTTAACGACTCGGGTTAAATTTTGCAAAGTACCAACGCGCGTTCCCCTCTCCTCCTTTTTCACCTGCTCCCAGCGACGTGTCCGTTAATTGAATCTCCGTGGAATTTACGATAGAGCCTGCGTGCATCGGAAAAAATTTACAAAACCACCGCCCAAGCTGAATTATTTAGCAGCTCGGTGGAGGGAGAGAGAAGCGTGATCGAATCTTGACGGATCGTTTTCACCGTGAAAGATCGGAGCGAAACGAATGACAAGCATCGAGCAGAAGTTACGGTTACCGGTGTTATTGTGAAAAAACCAAAGAGAGCGAAAAAAAAAGACGAGCAAATTGAGACTTAGAGTACCATTCGTTCTCGTTATTTTAGTTACCGCGGGACACGCTCGAAAAAATTTCCACCAGTATTTTATCATAACCTGTCTGGGGCTAGGACAAAAGACCGGTTCGTCTTGTCGGTGTACTCTGAACGAACCGATCGAACTCGTTTGAATACCAACGATGTTTCTCGAAAAAGGAAAAAACAGGAAATCACGAGAGACACCGGTCTGATTACAATTTTCATTACGCCGCGATTCGACGGATTTGGAAATGCGACCGCGATTTGAAATTCCATACCGATCGCGGAACCGTTCGAAACTCGCGGTTGAAGGGGTGCGCGTAATTTCGTCACCAGGATGGTTACTAAATTTTCCCGTTTACCGCGACATTTTTTCTCTGTCTGGTTCCTCGAAACGCTTCGAGCGTTTTCCACGCTGGAAACCTGGCAATTTTCGAGGACGCGGCACGTACACGCGGAAAAAAACACTGCATGGAAAAAATACATAGTATTGGAGAGAGAGAGAGAGAGACTGGAGTTAGACGGAGATAGAAAGAAAGAGAGGAAGAAATAGATAGAGAGTGAAAGAGAGAAAGAGAGAGAGAGAAAGAAAGGTCGGCCGGTTATAATGGATATGAACTTACTGTGTGCCGTCAGCTTGATTATGACGGAATCCGTGCCGAAGCTATTCGTGACCGTGCAGTTGTAATCCCCGAAGTACGTGGATATGGGATCGAGCAGCGTGACAGTGCTGACGATCCTCTCGGCGGTGTATTCCTCCAGCACGTAGAACGGCGTATTGTTCGACGAGAAATTGAGCTCGCGACCGGCGAAGCTCCATATCACCGAGTCCGCTTTTGGCACAGATATCGCGGTACACTTCACCTGCGAAATCGAGGAGGAACAGTCGAATAAAAAAGGCCTCCGGTTCGTGTCGCTTGCCCCCTTCGCCCGGAATCCACCGATACCATGTGTCTACCCCTCAATGTGTATCGTGTGTCCCGCTTTTCAAAAAACTGTCGCGCCTCGGGTATATCGACGGTGAAAAAAAAAATTGAAGATCGGGGAAAGGTAGAAGGTTGGTTACGAGAAAAAATAAAGAGAGAGAGATATAGACGGGAGGAAACTAGCGGTTACGTGTTCATCGAGCAACTAGATTCCCCACATGAACGAGAGAAAAAAAGAAAAAAATAGAGGTTCGTTTTGGATCGCTATTCTGAACCATTTGTTCACGTAGATTTCGTAGACGCGGCGTCTAGCCACGCGGTTTTCCACGCATATTTTCCATAAATGCCTCGTTTCGAGTCTACCGCGCTCGAAAGTTATGGAAGTTATAAATCGAGGCTGCGTCGCGTTCGTCCGTTTTGCGAGACGTCGAAAGCCAAACGAAAAATAACTGCGCCCGATCGATGGAAATTCTGAAGTGTACCGTGAATTACAGCTTTACCGAAATATTAACAGAATTTAGAGTAGAAAGAGAAACGAGAAAGAAGAGATTTGAAAATGGAAGAGGGGTGCCGCGAGGAAAAGAGTATAGTCGGTGGAAGCGATACAGCGAGGTCGCAAAATCAGGGCGTCAAACTATACGTAATCCGAGTTCCAAAACGTTACTTCGAAATGTCAACTTGAAATTGGTTTCTCCCATTGCGGTAGACACATTTAAAAAATTTGTCTACACCTTAATTTTTCACAGCTACAGGTCGAATAGTCTTTTGAAGCATCGTCCCCTATCCTTCGAATTATTCTCATTTACATTCTTAACATCTGTATTTTTATTAATTTTATATAATACTTATATAGCACTTATACACTCAAACCGTGCATTTTGTACGATGCATTACAGTAGATAACACCATTCTATCGTGGAAATTGGTGCGTTACACGTGTCAATGAAATATTGCAACCATAAATTTCAAATATCAATTCACAAATAACGGACGATCCCGAGTTCGTCTACATCAATTGGTGTCGTTATTCAATGCTTTAATTTCACCTCAAAATATCGCTTTCACCGACTATACTGTACCCCGTAGCTACGTCGGACGGCCTCAGAAATGGTCGCGATTATCCAGGAATCGAACTTGAACCTTAGACAAAGATTGCAATCGGCACATGTATATCGCTTCCACCAACTATACGGTACAACACTAACCTTGACGACGCCTTCGTCGGGCACGTATTGCACCCTCTGCGACACGATGCTCGGCGGCGCCCGAATGTAGATGTTGGCAGAACCCGTGAGTTCCGGAAAACCGTGTACCCGAGCCTTGCAAAAGTATCGTCCAGCCGTCTCGTGGTTCACCACAACGCTGATATTAGGCGTGCTGGCGATTTGTCGATCCGAATCCTCGTGCAACCAGACGATCTCCGGCGTCGGGTTCCCGTCGACGTCGCACTGCAAGATCTCTGTAGCGCCGTACTGAGTCTCCACGGAGACAGGAGGATGCCGGAACTGTGGCCCGTCTGCGAAATTCAATTTTAACCGTCGGACAATCCCTCGAGATTGATACGGCGAACAGAAGAGAAGGAGAAGGAGGTGGGAAGAAAGAAACAAAAGGAGAAGCGCTCTTTTGTACTGTAAGCGTCTGAAAATGGCGTTCACGCGGGATCACGCTTGCCACTCATGGCAATAGCAGAAGAGAAGGATAAGTTGAGCGGGTTAGAAAAGGGGAGTGAAGGACCATCTTGAGAAATATGCCGGCAAATGCTCTCTTAAGAAGTCCAATTTATCCTCCGGCCTTGGCTTTTGACAAGCGTTATCCCGAATTTCGCTGATGCCCGCCAACTGGATTGCCGGCTAAATAACGCGACGAAACGACGTCGAAGCGCCCTTCTTGGACGAACGAATGGGATAAAGTAAGGTCGAGTCAGCGAATACTAACGCGTGCTTTCGACTCCTTGGCGGAACCTCGGTTAAGATTTTTCTCTTCGTCGAGTGGAGATACGTTTTGTACGTAATTTCGTTCTATCTAGGCGCCAGTCTGGTACCGTTGAGGAATTATTTCTATTCGTTCGTCCAAATTGAAATCGAAGTTCTGCTGCAACGTGTACGGTACGGCTTGTTCGTTCATTTGCAACGTTTACTGTTCTTCCAGATAATTTATTCTGAACCCTTTCGTTACTATTCGCGCCTATAGGCCACTGTTCGAGCCACTCGATGCACTTCCACCTTAATTTTATCCTTCACGCACTTCCACCTTAGTTTAATAAATCAAATTTTAAAAGGATAAGGCCGAAAGAAGAAATTTCGCGGTAAAATTTGCCGTAGCGAAAGGGTTAATTCGTTACATCTTTCAAATCGGATAAACGTCTAGTAAAAGTACCGATTGAAATACTCACAGGTGATGTCAAGAGTCTCGGTGTCCTCGCTCTTCCCAACATCGTTGTGCACCTCGCATTTCACAATCGCGTCATGCAAATCCCTCGTCGCGTTGTGGATGATCATTTCCGTGGTGTAATCTCCGATCACCTTTTTCTCGTTGATGAACCACCTACCGAGTGGAAAAAACAGAAAAGAAAGGATAGGCCTGATGAGCATATAATTGCTGTATAATTTGCCTACGACTTCTTTGCAAAAAGCTGCCGGAGCTCTATCAATCGACTCGATTAAAAAACTCCTGGGGATAATTATACTTTTCTTTAATATTCTCCCCTTTTCGATATCTATTCGTTCCCTAGTTCCCCCTTTCGACGTTCGTCTTTCTTCCGTGTAATACGCGAGACCCGGTCATTTTTCAGGCCCGGGGATCGATACCGGAGTTTTCAGCCGGTTCACAAAGGGCAGGATGGAAACGCGAAAACGATAACCTTGGTCGAATTAGGAGCGGGAGTCCTCGAGGAACGCGATTCTCTCGAAGGAAAGGTGGTTGGCTCGTGACCGTTTCACGAACGCCTCCTCCAGTCGCAAGATTTATCTCGTTCGATGGGCACAACCGATGAAAAGAGCGCGGAGAATCCGCTTCGGATGGCAATAAAGGGGACAGTAGCAGCCTCTTTCGATCCGTTCGACTCGCGTGCTCATATACGGTTATCAAAGGGAACCTTGAGGATAGTTGGAAAGGAAACTGAATGAAACGAGCACGAAAGTTCTCCGACTCGTGCATCTCGGAAAGGATCTCTGGTCTTCTTGCACCTCCGTACCTACACACACACACGTGTCGAGTATGTACGAGATAGTTGGTGTCTCATCAAAAGTCCTCTCGTTGCTAATAGTCCTCGTAGAAAACCCCCTTCCCTCTCTTAGTGTCTCTTACTCTGTAGTAGAGGTTTTATTATTTTCACGTGAAATTACAGGTCGTAGAAAGTTCGTAGAGTCGTAAACGTCGTGCCGAAGCATCGTCCCAGTGGCTATGTTACCCGGCTTTTACGGTTTCGATTTCACGCGAATCCGTTGCGGGTCGACGAGGTTTCGTCGAAAGTTACACCGTGAATTAAACCGTTCACCTATCTCCCTCGGTGTACGGGTCTTTCTGGTGGTGCTATCTGGTCGACTGTCCTCGATACTCGAACCGCACGGGACACGAAAGCAAAGCCATTCACACTGGTGGGTCCGCTTTCGCTTTCGTTTCGCGATCTCTCTTTTATTGGACTCGCCAGACAAACGACACCGCTGATACACTCGTACGTACACATAAATGTGCTCGTACTACCCTTGTACATAGCCATAGAGTACAGAGAGAGAGATAGAGAGAGAGAGTGAGAGAAATCGGTAAACCATCGAAGCTGGTAACAAGACAACGCGTAATGCAACGCATGACCAGCTAACATTGTCCTAAACTTTGCATTGTCCTCTCTTTGTAACGAGCATCAATTATTCGCTTGCTCAGTGTCACGACCGATTGCTTGCTAATTCTCCTTTTGTACAAAGCGTGTGCCCACCGACCTAGCACTGCTCGATAAAGCATCTCTCTCTCTCTCTGTTTCTCTCTTCCTTCAGTCACCGGCTAAAATCGCACAAATTAAGCATTCTCTGAGCCGGTAAATCTGTGACCGCTCTCCGCGTACGTTTTTGTCCACGTTCTCTCTTCGATTGTAACTCGTAGACACGTGTGTGTGTGTGTGTGTAGCCAGACTCGCCTGTGTCCTCTGTATCTCGTGTAAAGCAGGCTGGATTAAAATGCATGGAACGATAGATTGAAAAAAGGAAATACAAGCAGGTAGAGAGAGGAGAATCGAAGGGGTTAAAACGGGGTCTTTGAACAAAGGATCGACGAATGGGGGGAAAAAAGAGAATACGCGGATCACGGCAGCAAATATTATGCTTGTCCAATCATGCCCATATAGATCACTACCTCTCTATATTTTCCTATCTATTATTCACATGTGTGTATCATTCATAATCATCGACACTTATCAAAGATGCAAAACTCGATTCGGAGTGGAGGTGTGTTCGTGAATAAATGAAACGTTCCCCATTGAAATAGAAAATAGCTACACGAGTCCTCTGTGGAAAAGAGTGTCCAGGTGGAAAAAAAGAAAAAAAGGAACAGGACGACGTCCAGTTGCAACTTCACCAAGCTCGTCATGTACCCGCCTCATCGTCGACGGACACGCAACCATGAAAACCACCGCCGGCCTCGATACCTAGCCACATGCAAAGCAACAACGTCCCGAATTCGAGGAGCGTTCTCGTAGGCTGGTGGTATCGATCACGATACACACGGTACATACTGACTTGCTCTTTGCAGCAACGGCCTGTTGGCAGCCGAGGTGAAACGGAGCAACGATAGAGGAGGGGTTGGTCGGTCGGCATTGCTCGCGAGTTTCCCACTCACCTGTACTCGACGTTCGGTGGATTCGCCTCGGCGCGACATTTGAAGCGAAGCTCGCTACCCTCGACGATGCGGCCGTTCTTCCCAAGGCCTGACCGGATTCTCAGAGACACTTTCGGCGCGTAGCGAACCTGAAACACGAGATACAAGCGTTCGATAGCGGATAGAAGAGAGGTATGGCGGTGAACGGGACAGGTGAGGCGTCGAATACACACACCGTGGGTGGATACTCGAAATGTCACGCGAGCCGATGCTCAAACTTTCATGACTACCGTCGTCGCGCGATCGATCGACTCGCGTCGCGTCGCGTCGAGATGGTCGCGTGACTCCTTTGATACATACCAGCAACCATAAACGCCGTCGACGACGACGAGGACGTCGTTGCACTTTATTTTCCCCGTCGTCGGACGTGATTTCTCGGCAATTAATATCGCGCCCCGTTGACAAGTCGCTAAGTAAACAATGTTTCGGAGCAACGAATCGCGACGAGACTACTACGTGGTTTCAACCCCTATTCATCCGTTCCAAACCGAGACAGAGTTACGCGATCTCGTCATCGTGAATCATTAACATCCTCTCCCCTCGGCTGGAGGAGGAGAGTTCTCAGAGGAGAGGTCTCCTCTCTGCTTAGTCTGTGTAGAGGAAGACCGCAGAGCTCTGCTATTGTCCGTAGGGGAAGAAAGCAGAAGCACGGAAAGCAGAGAAGAGAGGGTTTAGGCAACCCTACTCTGTGTGCCGGTTGGGCGATTACGCCGCGGACCAGTTTTCGGGGACGCGACATTAATTATTCTTCAGCTCGTTACCGCGTTTCTGGCCAGGTTCGCGCGCCGCTTCTGTTAATCTCGTTCTTCTCGTTCGAAAATGGGCTGGCGAAAAAAGTGCGCAAAAGCTTGGAACCACCACCCTTGTCCCCACTTTCACATCGTCGACGTTGTCGTAGTCGTCGTTTCAACAGAGCGGCGGCGACAGCGGCTGATGGCCCAGTTTTCCGGTTTCCTCTCTCTCGCTCTCTCCCGTTTTTTTCTCTTCTTTTTCTGTCTCTCCCTCTGACTCTATTCTCGTCGTACTCACCTCGACGCGAAGTTTCGCGTTCTGCGGCGTGCGGTCGGCCGCGTTCTGACTTTGGCACGTGAACGTCGTGTTGTCGTGGTCCTTTCGCGGCATCACACTTAAGACAGATTTCACGGTGTACAAAGGGCCGTCGTCGAATAACTCTTTCGTTGTCTTGATTCCTGTGTGCAGCACATTTCCCAGCCCGTCGATCCACGTGATCTGTAAACGAATTTGGAAAAGGTTCAAATTAGAAACGTGACGGTTCGACGGTTTCATTATCGGAAGGGGAGCTTAATGGGAAAGGTCATCGTTCCGAGAGTACGATATAATGTAATAATTCGCGCTGCTGTTTAAAAATTCACTGTGAATCGTGCGGAGGTTTTATTAATAACCGTGAAGAATGATACGCTTTCAATTCCCCCGGTAATAAATTCTATCCACTTTTATTTAATAATACTCCGTTGCACGAGAATCTCGTTAACGGGCAGGTCGTTTCGATCGTTTAGGACATTCGGCTAGCAGAGCGGATCTCACGGATACCGGAACCGCAACAACGGTCTTCCGAAAAACCAAACTTCTCTCTCTCCATGTTTGGAAACTCTGAAAGCTACAATCTTGCTCGAACCCTTCCTCCTTCTCCCCGTAACTCCTCTTACCAGCGGAGAACAGTCTACCACCTACTTCGCCTGTTAATCATTAATTTAAAGAAGCCTGCTAGCTTCCGGGAAGAAAACCGTCGGATTCTCCGGGAGAAGCTTATCGAGCGAGTACGAAGAATGCGGCAGAAGTCGAGTAGTAGCAGAGCGCGAACTCGACGGAGACGAGCTGGCGCATATCGGAAGTTATTTCATTATAACGGACTTGGTCATATTTTATTCAATAATTCGGGGTAGGATCGATCGGCGCGCGATCGGGGATTGAAACAGGCGTCCCGGCAAGTAGCTGGATCCGTCGAGCAGCTTCCGGCAACCGCGAGTTTCATTCGCGAGCAAGTTCGCTTTCCAAAACTTTCGAATTTCCCCCGGAATTAATTCAGCCTGCAGGCGGTCTGATTGAAAATCCCCTTCTGCTCACCTCTCTGATCCGGCCGACAGATATACGTACACCCTAGTGTCACCCTCTATTCTCGCCCCCTTCTTTCGTTTCAGTTGCTCACTTTTTTGAAAACGCCGCTCGTTTCTCGAACGTTTCCGCGGAAACGGAATTCTAAGGGGCCTGGGTGCTTTTCTACGTTTCTCTCGTGATTGCCTCGTTCTAAGGGTTCTAGATTCTTTCTCTGTTTCTCTTTGAAAATCTCCTTCTGCTCACCTCTCTGATCCGGCCAATAGATATATGTACGTACACCCTAGTGTCACCCTCTATTCTCGCCCCCTTCTTTCGTTTCAGTTGCTCACTTTTTTGAAAACGCCGCTCGTTTCTCGAACGTTTCCGCGGAAACGGAATTCTAAGGGGCCTGGCTGCTTTTCTCCGTTTCTCTCGTGATTGTCTCGTGCTTGCAGCCACGGACGGTCCAGCGACTTCGGTGACCCCGCGCAACAGAGATCGATCTAATCGGCTCTAATTAGAAATCTCGTGGTGGCGAGGTAACGCGGCTCGACACCGATACCGATGTTTCCGGTCAGAAACGCTAATCCGCAGTTTCGTGTAATTGACGCTAATCTGGGATTTCGTGGCTCCATTTCTAGCTCCTGGCCACCTATTCTTGGAGCTACACCACTGGATACAGACTGTATAATCGTGTGTGTGTCGCTTGGTTCATTTTTGATAAACCTTCGTCTATTTCTGCGTTCTGGTAAAATTATAAGAGGTGAACGTTCTGGAATAATGTCGTTTCCAATTCTCTTTGAGTGAAGGATAAAGAGGTACGAAGGTACAGACGGTGGAAGAAATGTAGCGACGATGATTCGAGGACGATGTTTAAAATAATTCACACATTATTCAGCAATAAAAATAGTTATTTTTGCCATAATTTCATATATCTACATTTGAGAAAAATACAATTTTGGAATGATTTAACGTGAAAACAAAAAAAAATTGAAATAGTGACCCAATTACATATTCACAAGGATTAATGCAGTAACATTCAGGACCGAGTGCGCCATTTTTCTTTTTTCAATTAAAATTGAATCAAAGCTAAAACATACTTCATAACCGAGGTTCGGTTTCCTTATCTTCTCAATTTTCTATCGACGAACTCGAACGTGCAAACTTCAACCCCTAACCGACATCGCGATCTCGCTATATCTCTTCCATCGACTATACATTTACACGAACAATTCACACCGAAGGCGAGACAGTAGCACGATTCCTTGGATGCAGAACTTTCATCATCTCTGTGGACGAGTAATTAGCGGTTAACAAGGGGAACGTTTGAAACGGTAGAAAATCGCGAAGGAAATCGACCAATGTGCACGGCTCGAGTGTTTTCCAAGAGGAAACTCCGGAAAATCGAACTGCATGCAATCTGGCACGCGATGCTCGCGATCGAGCGGTTGTTCGACTATCCAGATAATGAAAGTGTGTTCACCAGAGGGTACGTGGACCACCGAAAAAAATCTAGCTATTGCCTCGGTCGACGAGCATCGATGCACACTTTTCCATTCCTCCTCTGTTATTCGTCTAGGCGATCCAATCGTACTCACTACCGTGTGTATACATCCTATCACCGATATCTGTATGCGTACTTGTCGCTTATCAGTGTGCATACCTGTGTGTGTGTGTGTGTGTGTGTACGAGAGTGGCTGTTCTGGCGTAGTAGCTGCACCGACGCGAATCGATCGTATCGTCTATAATTAGGCATGCCCTGCATCAGTGCTCCTGCACTCTCATATCACTACGAGTTCCGACTCCAGCACTATTTACGATACTTGCCCGAGATCGTGCGCGCACCCGGTCGCGTTAAGGCGCGTTATAATTTTAATAAACGCGCCGCAATTACCGTCGAACCGGGATAGAGAAAGATAGGTTGAGTGAAAAACAAGAAGAATAAAAAGAGAAGAGAAGGAGAGAGAGAGAGAGAGAAGGAAGAAAAAAGGAAAGTAACGACGCGAGATCTTCAGGACTGGATGGACGGTCTTTGAAATTTCTTTCCTCGCCCGATGAATATTCGATGAGCAGGCTCCACCTCTTGGCAAGGAACTTTTCTTGCATCTTCACCCCGGCAAAATATACGTACTCTGTTCGCGCCCTTACGTACGACTTCTTCGAGTACGGTCGCCGACTTAATTCCAGCTTCGTCGGCGATTGCGGGAGTGGCCATCGCCCGCCGATGAATCTCTGTCCTTGCGCTCACAATAGGACTGTATAAAGAGTGTGTCGCGTGGAAAAATAATAGTACACCCGTTTCTTATTTCTCGTGACACAGCTTGCAAACCTAACCATGCAACAAGATCAATTTTTCTTTCGAAATACGCGAACGTTTCGGGGATCTTCTCCGGAGGAGATTCGTAACAAGATAGATATATGTAGTGTATTCTCGTCTACGACGATGAAAATGACGTCACGTTTGCGCAGGAGATCGATCTAGTTTGCTCTAATTAGAAGTTCCACCAATCCATAGGTTGCATTAGCATTTACCATTGTGCCAAACAGCGGCTTGATTCGAATTACAGCGTATATATGGTATGTATATTCTACGAACGGCGCGATTGATCGAAGAAAGCTGGATGGTCGAGGGATGAGGCGGCGGCGTATGATCGCGATTATAAACGTCGAGGCGGTTTCGCTTGGATCGATCTGTCCCACCCGAAATAAATGCACCGTGAACGTGCTCCCCCTCCCCCGGTACTGTGACGCTCGCACCTTCCGTTCACCGATTCTTCCGTCCAGCGATTTTTTCACGACCCAAATATCGCCGATCGGATCGTCCCCTTTTTGCGAAACCGTGCCTCCGTAACCTTGGCTCTGCCCGTTTATTTCCATCCAGGCCTCCCCTAACGCTCTTATATATTTTTATAATTCCCACGTAAGCGGGTAATCTCGTCTAATGTTTCCGCGCTGGTTCGTTAAAGGGTGCTTTATACTCCTTTATGGGATTAATTAAGAACCGGGGGAAAGAGGAGCGGAGGTACCGCGCCGCGTGGTTACGTTACGGTGAAGAGGCTCGGCCGAGAATCGACTGAGTTTCCATCTGCTTTCGAATACGTCGCTATTATACAATTAATGGAATTCAGGATATAAAGAAATATAGACTGAAAGCTCTTTCACCACTCCCCTGTTTTAATTACCACAGTCCATTTCAGAGACTCATTTATCCGGCGAGGAGGAAATAAGTGTTAACGCGTTCAACGTTACGGCGAATACGTGGACGTCTGAAGTATACCGGGTGTCCGAATTTTTTCGGATCAAACTTCGTCGGTATGTTCTACGGGTATAAATAAGAAAAAAATTTTATATGAACATAGGTCGTTTGAAGCTTTGTTCAGTGAAAGTTTGCTCATAGAATAAAGATGATTAGTAATAATAATAATACGGACTTACTATGTTTCACCACCAGAGGGACGACTAACATTAGTCTTTTTCATCAGTCCTTGATAAGGTTCCTATTTCTATTTCTGATTAAACTCTGTCAATATGCTCTATGTAAAATATGATAAAAAGTTACAACAAAAATATAAAATACGAGCGGTTATTATGATACAAGAATAGCACCGGCAAAGGTTACATTCAACACCTTCAACGACCTTAGATGGTAAGTACAGCTTGTATAAATAGACTAGGCGTACATAACCTCACATTCGTTATCATTCTTCAACTTTTTAGTAAAGCTTCAACCGACCTACGTTTATATAACTCTATTTTACCTATGTACATCCATAGAACATACTGACAAAGTTTGTTCGAAAAATATTGGGACACCTTGTATATCTCGGAAGGTCTCTTACATCAACAATTTTCTAAAAACAAATCGTCGATCAATTGAATTTGTCATCGACAAAATGCTACGAAATGTACAAATCATTTTCGTCAGCCGCTCACCAGTTAGAGCTGTCGAATTAGCGACACTTACATGCCACGTGTGTATCCGTAGGAAGCCACATCGTTCGTTGGCCTGATCGACGTTAATTGGGAAACAAAAGCAGGAGGTGGCGCGATCTCGCCGCCAATTCAAGCGACTCCCGGTCGAAACCTCTTTCTTCGTTCGCCTTTCATTCTAACATGCTCGGGCATTCATCGTCGCCGACCGGTAATTAAATAGTCCCGACAAGGAAAAGTGGCTC